CCCCAAAACCCCAAAACCCCTAAAGTCTAGATCTCAAGAATTAACCTAGTTAAGAAATAAAAATAACTTAAATTTTAATAGTAGAGATTAATAAGAATTTGAATAAGATTTTAAGTGAGATAAGATTATACTATTTCACACTTTTATAACTCAATAAATTTACCAGTAAAATTTTTAGTTTCCAGACTTATATGAGCAACAAGCCTTAAATTGACTATCATTTGTCTAATGAGAGGGCTAGTGAGCATTAAAAATGCTACTTATTTACCTATGGATAGAGTATTGTATCTATCATTGATTATCAATAAAGCTAAATGTTTAATGACTGTTTTTTGTGTTTGCATAGTTTGCATTAAGCTGAGACGATAATGATGATGAAATGAATTAGATGGATAGGTTTGCATAGTTAATGAGGTTTTAAGTAATAAGGATAGTGTAATATTGACTATTAAGTTAAATTAAGGATTATCAAATGTATATAATCAAAAAAGCATGCTAATAAGTCCCATTAACATAGTGGAAATGCCTGCTATGATGTAGAGTGCATTTGACTTAGTTAAGGTAATGTTAAAATCTGATTTTTAAGATGCAAGGAAAACTGTATATGTATCATCACTGTGTGGCAATAAGACTTCATTTACGTGAGACATCTCAAATCTTCTTCTATCAGCACCCGTTTACAATCTATTGTTATACACATAGAATAAGACCTTTCTAGTATCTGACTTTTTGCTCTCATCTTGATAGCCTAGTGAGATGAAGCCACTTTTCTCAGCTTAGCTCTTGACTGTGAACTTGAGGGTAGTTCCATTCCTTATAGTCAAGTTTCTAATTGGTATAATATCTAGTTGGGAAATAACTACATCTCCACCTGAAAGAACGTTCATTGGATTATCCATGCAAAAATCTTGAGTGTTGCCACAAATCCAACCAGCGTTAGTATTTCTTGCAGCTTAGCAGACTCCTAAGTTGATTCCATTAGTAACTGTGCTTGAAAAGCAATAGAAACCTGCTGTAGGAACTGCTGTTACACAACCCCAGCATTAAGCATTGTGTTGAGTGTAGTTATAGGTAGAGTTCTGTGCTAAGATATTGGCAGAGAGACCTAAAACGACTAGTAGTGATTGCTTTAAGCTGAATTTATTCATTTTAATTTATTTATTATATACTACTATTGTCTCAGAGCTATTTGATTGCGGGGTTTTGGGGTTTTGGGGTTTTGGGGTTTTGGGG